TTTGTTGCAGGGCGGCTGGAGGGGGGTGGTTGGGGCAGGGAGATGCGAAAACAAGTACCTGATCGCAGATCTGTCGTTAGGTTTGGATTCACAGGGTCTCAAAACCCTACCCTCTTCACCCGAATAGAACGCTCGGTCATTATAGCTGTATTTGGTGCAACTTTCAGCCTTGATACAGTGGATAATGAGGTCTTTGTTTGAGAAAAAAACGTCAAGGATACTAGGTTCAGAAGGTGTGGATTGGAATTTCACGATTAGGTTCAGAAAGGTGATGTTGTGAGTCAGGCTGCGTGATGTGGTAGGGGAAAAGAGGGCAACCCTATTCATTCTTCATTTCTTGAGACAGTGAAGATTCTACCGTTAACATTAAATTAGAAGAAGAAACTTGAACTACTTTCACATGATATGCTTCGACTGTAGACTTAGAGTCTAGACTCCACTGTCTTCCCCCAAATAAAACGTACTACCGTCTTCCCCCGAATAAAACGTACGATCATTCTGCCTGTATTTGGCACAACTTTCAGTCCAGAATCCAGATGCAGCGAGAATGACAGTACGTTCTATTCGGGTGAAGACGGTAGATGTCTGTAAAAGGATAAACTTTGAAAAGTGGATGGGATTTGTTGATTAGGCTGTGTGGGGTGATACATGACAAGGACTCCATTTCCTTCTTCCCCCCCCCCCCCCACTCCTTGTCCTTAAAGAAGGGCGGCGGCCTTGAGATATCATCGCGGAACTGACCAGCCCCAGGTAAATCGATAAATTTTCAAGTTTTCATTCATCTAGATTCTAGATCCATCTGGGCTCGAACTCAGGTCTGTATTTCAACAGTTGATGGGTGTACCAACTTAGCTATGCCCATTGGTACAAGAATTCCTTTTGGATCTCCGTTCTGTGAAGATTCACCGATAAAACTAAAAATGTAGTTGACAGGAAAAAAAAAGACTCTGCAGTGTCACTAGCAGCAGCATGCCAACCGGTTTCCAAACCCATCACCCCCCCTCTCCCCCCCCCTCCCTACCCCCCAACCAAAAAAAAGCAAAAAAAAAGCAAAAAAAAGCATAGCAACCACTTTTACTGACAGCAATTCATTGAATGCTCAGCTGCATTGGAATGTCTGTCTTTATGTGGAGGTGGAATTCCTGTGGATTTAGAATCTCTCTCTCTCTCTCTCTCTCTCTCTCTCTCTCTCTCTCTCTCTCTCTCTCTCTCTCGCTCTCTCTCTCTCTCTCCTGGAAGTGGAATTTTCAGTGAAACTTGTACGGGGGACGTTTATATGTGTAGGCCTAACTGGCATTTAATCCTTCTTGAGGGAAGCAATCAATGCCGCCAGGGATCCCCAGGCCTTTATTATATACGTTTTGTGAAAGTCATGTATTTTGAAACACCTAAAACATGGATTTTCTATAAACCAATGGATCGTGAAAAATCTTTATTGATTGCTATTACTCTCTTTTTTATCACTTTTTTTTTCTTATATCCTTCTCCTATATTTTCGGTTACTCGTCAAATGGCACTAAGTCTGTGCCTGTAAGTTTCGAGCGGAGACGAAACTTCGTAGTAATAATGGGGATGCGTTGAGTGCTGACTACAAATGTCATTCCAAGGACTTTGCGCCCGGCTCCGAGGATGTGATGCTCCCCATCAATAGAAAGGAGCTTTATACAATGCAAAAAAGAAACAGAGTGAAGCTGGAGGAGGTGGGAATAGAGGATAGGGGGTCATGTGGACGAGTAGTAGGAAAATGCTGGCGCTACCAATAATAGAATGGAGGCACATAACAACAGTATACTCAGAGTGTACATGGAGGCATGGAAGATTATATACAGCATTCGAGGGGGGAAAACATCCGAAAAAAGCTTAATAGAGATTGAAATGAGATTAATGGGGTCATCTGAGAGATAGACAAATGTATGATAGGAGGAATTGGGAGCTACCTTCTTCCCCTGAATACAACGTACGGTCATTATAGCTGTATTTGAGGCATCTTTCAGTCTAGATACAGCTATAATGACCGTACGTTGTATTCGGGGGAAGAAGGTAGGTAAGGCTTGGAGTGGCAGAAAACAGGGGTGGTAGTTAATGGGATAAGTGGCCCCAGCGACTGGTCTGAAACGCCGTCCCGTGCGCCGTGCCCCGCAATGGACCACCCTAGTGCGCGTCTGGGTGCTGCTAGTAAACCTCCCGGCCAATAGGGTGATCCACCGCGGAGGGACAAAGGCTTGGGGTCAGAAGTACAGAAGCAAACCCCCCCTTGTTTAGGCAGCTAGTGCCACGAGGGTTGGGCTCACCCTCTTTTTCTCGTCTTTTCTTCTAATGTCTTTGTAAAAACATGCTTGCCGGGGATAAGTAACCGGACTGGTGACTCCCAGAATAGAAGGGGCTTGTGTTTGAAAAAAGAAAGAAAGAAAGAAAGAAAGAGATTTATAAGCGTAAAACTTGACTTTCAAAAAACGTTTCATTTTCAAGTTCAGTTGTGAGTGAACCGTTGTTTTTCTTTTAATGAATACGTCGAAGATTCAGATCTCTCTCTCTCTCTCTCTCTCTCTCTCTCTCTCTCTCTCTCTCTCTCTCTCTCTCTCTCTCTCTCTCTCTTTGTGTGTGTGTGTGTGTGTGTGTGTGTGTGTGTGTGTGCATCTCTGTGTGACCCCCCCCCAACCACCTTTCTTCCCCACCTTATGGAGGCTGACAAGTGGCCAACTAGTGGGCGTTGACGGGTTGGTCTGTGGGTTGGCCAGCGCCTTCGAGCTAGGGGCACTCCAGGCAGTCGGCTATGCAACCATGCTGGCCAGTGCGTTTGTTCTGGTTTGATGGTAGCTACTCCACGCCGTCCACGGTCTATTTTTGCCAGAGCTGGGGTGGGGAACGTGATGAACATCCATTTGATTATTTGTAAGTTTTTTGTTTATCATAATAATCTCAGAGGATTTGAGCTTTTTTGTGTGTATCTTCTGGCTGCAATGATGTGCAAATCAGTGTTCTCAGTTGCAACATGATTGAGGGTATGAAGTTGACGTTGTGAGTTAAGGCAACCAGTCGACCTCGAGACTGCCATTGACAAGCTCAAGAGTGTTTTACTTCGTTGGTGTGGATGGCTGTATTTGTGGTGGCTGTCTTGTGCAGATTGGTTTCCAATTCATTGGAAATTCTGTTTCCACGTTGGTGTGGGTGGCGGCTGTTTTCCTTTTCATGGAGCTGATGGGATTTTCCACTCAGAAGTGGATAACAGCTGGTGGCTTTGGAACTGTCGTTCTCACACTAGCTGCAAGAGAGGTGCTGCAGAGGAGCTCATTTGCACATCCCATACCTTCTGTAACTGGTTTATGAAATCCATTTTTGTCTTTCCTTGGTTGGGCAGAGAAAGGGAAAAAGGTCCGTCAGTCTTATTGCAAAGACGGTGGTCCATTGTCATGGGAAGCATCCCCCTGATCCGTCTTCTACCGTGTGGATGACAAGCAGAAGGAGGCGAGGATTCCTCACTATAACCCCCATGAAAGACCGCAGTCTGATTAAGCTTGCATTCCCAATGCTATGCTGAGCAGACTCTCTAATGCTCCCTGCCAGCCTGCACCACGTCCAAGAATCTACTCTTTCTACCCAGGATCTGCCTGTCTGTGTGTCGTTGGTCCGTCTGTTGGTCGGGGTCGATCGTTCAGTCGGTTGGTCCATCTGTCAGTCTGTCGGGGTCGGTTGGCCGGTCGGTCTGTCCGTTGGTCCATCCACCCTTCCGTCTCTCTCTCTCTCTCTCTCTCTCTCTCTCTCTCTCTCTCTCTCTCTCTCTCTCTCTCTCTCTCTCTCTCTCTCTCCGCCCYCCCCTCCCCCCACCCCTCCCCCTCTCCCTGTCCCCGTCGCCTTGTCGCCCTGTGCCCCTGTCCCCGTCTCCTCGTCGCCCTGTCTCCCTGTCCCCCTCTCCCTCTCATTTTCTCTGCATGGTTGTGAACTTGTCCGTCATTTGCAACTTTTTGAATCCTTTCAAACATCAGCATTTATGGTCACATCGTGTCACACTATTTGAGTGATCTTCGCTCCTGTCTCTGTGGTGTATGGTTCTCTTCTTTACCCCGGACCGTGGCCATACGGTTTAAGGGTTCTCCTACGGGAGAACAGCACCCACTATCACTTTATCACCCACCTCTTGATTGTCACTCCCTGAGCTCCGTCCACACCCACTTTCTGGCTGTACATCTGTCAACCTTTGCCCGCCAAATAGCTCGCTATCTTGTTATGTTCTTCTTCTCGTCGCTTACGGAGATCTCCTCTTAGTCAAATCAAAATCGTTGTGTCTGTGTTTGAATAGGGTTCTTTTTTAACCGCTTTATGTTTATGCAGCTTTTGTCTCTTGCCCTCTTTTAATCAGGTCTCCGTTACAGTCATTCATTTGTCTCTTTTTTAATCAGCCCTCTTTTAATCTTTCTATCTCCATCTCCTCTTCCCTGATGAACCTTTCACGTCCCTTATTTTTTTGGGACTGGAAATCTTACCGAGGTTCGATCGAGTTTTTATTAACCTTTCTTTGTTCGTAGTCTTTTTATAAAATTTACATACTTCAATGTGCTGCTTTTTTGTCTGGAAACTTTTTTTTTTTTTTTTTGGTCTGAAAAGAACTTTCCAAACCACCAAGGTTTAATCAGGTTTTCAAAGTTCGAACTTGTCGTACTCCTGTCATTTGTTTTTTGCTTCTAAAAATAGCTTTGTTTTTTGTTTTTTGCTTCTAAAAATAGTTTTTTTTTTTTTAGCTTCTAAAAATAGCTTTGTTCAGGAGCTCAGGGTTGTTGTAGGCACAAAGGATTACTGAGTCGTCCAGTGATGCTGATGTAGCATCGGTCTCAGCGTGCGTCTGATGTATCATGCTGATGTGGCAGATTGTGACCAACTTTTTATCCGCGATAATGCTGCACACAACAAGGCCGTTCAAGATAAACGATTGGATCAAAACGAAGATTGACAGCCAGGAAATATCCGGCGTCATCGAGGTAACTCACTCCCGTCCCTCATCACCGACTGCTGATCTCAAAACGCCGCTTGCTCGTGTCTTCTCAGTGTTGTTGAATCCATCAGTATGTGAACCCCTGATCTGTTGATTGACTGTCGCGCCTGTGGGGAGCATTGAGCCACAAGGCAGGCACACCACTGCTGTTTTCGCTGCTGAGTACTTGTACTAGCTACTACTATTTCTCCTGATTTTCTTCTTGCCTCTCCTGCGGGACAGAATGACATAGAAATAATTCAATATAATCGCAGCAGCTATCACAGGTGTTTTAAGAAAGCAGGGAAATGGGATATTGTGGAGATGACGTTGTGATGCTTGAAGTGATTGTTTTTTTTTTATCCCTTCTTTTGTTTTCTCACCTTCTCCCCCCCCCCCCCCCCCCCCCCCCCCCCCAAAAAAAAAAAAAAAGGGTAGTCCTTGTTTCGAATTTACGAAGTCCTGACCCCTGAAGACTACCGTCTACACCCAAATAGAATGCATGGTAATTAAAATTTAAAACTGTATTTGGGGCAACTTTCAATCCTGATACAGTGATATAATGACTGAGTGTTCTATTCGGGAGTAGATGGTAGGCAAATTCTTTGTGCCTCCTCAGAGGGTGTCAAGAGCCATGGGCGTTGTTCTTACCAAAAGAATCTACTTGTGACTCAGGCGAGCACGCTGGAAAACAAAAAAAAAGGGAAAAAGGAAACAACTCATACAAACAAAAAAATGAAAAAAAAAACAAGGAGGACGAAAGGGATATGAACTCGGGTGTGTATTTCAACAGTTCATGACCTGAGTTCATGTCCAGATGCAACGAGATAACTCTGAGTTACCTTTAGCTTGCAAAGCTGTCTCCGTGTTTAGAAAAAGAAAGCGGGAAGGAGGGGGGCGGGGGCGGGGGGGGAGGTGAATTCCGTAAACAAAAAACAAAAAATAACCTGTGATCTGACCAGAAAAAAAAAAGAAAAAGAAAGGGGGTATAACTTATAACTTATAAGCCATCAACGGCTGCTGTCAAGTGTGTGAATGCCTTTGACGCATTTACGTGTGCAGGTTGCAGATATCACGTTCAGACTTCAGAAGCAATAAAGCGAATGCATGACCCTTATGGTGGCCTGATGCATGAAATGAATTTAAGGGGCTTCAAGAAGGAAAGGGGGCTGGAATGAGGAAGGAAAAACCAAGGATGAGCATCAGTATGGCCTCCATTAAAATTGGAACGACACAGAAGATTAGCATGGCCGATGTGCAAGGATGAGATACGGAATGAGAAATGGTCCCCGAATCAAAACGGGGAAAAAAAGAAAGGAAAGAGAATGGGCATGGGATGGATACTGTATTTCTATAATTTCTAACTACTGTCTTGGCCTTTCTGTGTCTCAGCATGTGGGTTGGTGGGCCCCCACCGTCGTGCGAGGAGATGATCGTGAGGCTGTGCATATACCAAATCACAAGTTCAGTGTTAGCGTTTTGCGAAATCTCTCTCAGAAGACCCATTGGCGCGTCAAGACCAAATTTGGCATTAGCCATTTGGATGTGGGGAAGATTGCGGTGAGTGGCTGGTGGTCCCCCACCATTGGTTTTGTTTCTGCTTTCATCTTTTTCCCTTGGTGTGTCTTTCATGCCTTCCATCTTTCCCCGAACACAACGCACCCTCGTCATGATGTAACGCAACACACCCTCATCGTGATGTATATAACTTATGTTTCAGGTCCGTGACGATCATCATGAGGGCACGTTGTGTTAGGGGAAAAGGAGGTAACCCGAAACGACGTCTTGTGTTTTGCCGCTTGTTTGGGTTTGGGGGATGGAAGAAACACGAGACGGGGGGAGGGGAAGGGATGGCTCTTCGAAACGGACGACAGTCGGGAAAAGAGGCTAGTTTTCTCTTGGCTTGGTTTATTATGAGTTGAAGAAGTTCCAATCTGCTTCATGTGAAGTGCAAAGGCTGGTGGAGTGAATGGAACCACATAGAGCCAGAATGGATATAGTGAGAGATGGACATTCATGCTTTGTTGGCCATGAGGAGGGGACTGGAGACAAGCGACCTGAGAGACTGCTAGGAACGCCCCCCCCCCTCGCTCCGCCAAAGCAGGAATCCGATGTTACATGTCTGTGCAGAGTGTGGGTGGGAAGCGATGACCTTTCTGGGCTGTTGTCATGCTAGGATGGGATGAACTGGATATGCATTTGGGGCCAGGTTCATGCTGGTATGGCACACAGAGTTGAGGAGTGGGGTCAAAGACCACCGCCCTCGAGGATCTTACCGACTCTTTACGTGAAAGGGCTCGGATGTATGTGCTCGGCCTGGATGAACCTGGCCCAGATGCTTACCTGGTTCTTGCGGTTTCAGGATGGTCGAACGATATGCACAGCTATGCAGATACATGCGGATGGTTATATGCCATGTATCAATCAATTTGCATCCCTCCCCCTCCCCTCTCCCTCCCCCCCCCTAAAAAAAAACAACACCCCCAACCCCCTTGTTTGCAGCCTACGTCTTTTATACGTCTACTCTACGGGTCACACCAAGGACACATTTGCATTACCCACACGGACACATTTGCATTAGCTATACCCAGGTTTTTTTTTTTTTTCTGTCTCCAAAAATAGCTACAGCCCTGTCTGCTCTCGTACTCGTGCCGGCTTTCGAGTAAGTTGAAATAAGTGCAACCTTTGAACAAAAACTTCAAATGCCTTTTCTCCCCATGGCAAGACACCGTCGAAGCGAAGTGAAAGTTTAGAGTCGCGAGAAGTAAGAAGCAAGAGTCCAGCGCTCTCGGGGCATACTCGAGCATTAGGATGATTCTTCGATTACAGCCTAGTTTAGTTCAGAAGGTCCCTAGTGTGAGTATGGCCTCAATCTCTCTTTTTCTTTCCCGTGCTTCCACCACGATGGCCAAGGGATGTTGGAAGTGTTGTTGTTATTCGAAAGAAGGGGGGGGGGGGTAGTCCTTGTTGTTGAGGTTTCCTTCTCTCCTTTTATACAGGTTTGACTGCAGGTTTGACTGCAGATGTGGTCAACCTCTTGTCTCCCCCCATCTCCCATCCTTAAATCCCTTTATTATGATGACTCTGTCGGCATCTTGCTATGGTTGGATGAATTTCGTTCAGATGGTGTCTTTTTTTTTCCCTAGATTATTCATCACCCTGTTTGTGCTTACAGTTGGTGTTTGCTTCTCCATTGGCTGCTGCTCTGTGTTGTGCATCGTCCGATGCCCAGGACATTGTGGCCGACATGAGGAAGATCATTGCGAAGGACCCACAAGTGGAGCAGCAACGTTTGCACAGGAGGGTGTTCTTTGATGATGTAAGCTTTGAAAACCAAGCCTTGATGGTGAGTTCTCTCTCTTTCAGCTTTTCTAACTCTCAATTGGAGGCAGATCCCCCCCTCCTCCTCCCCGTTTCCTCCTCCCTTTCCCCTTTCCCTTCCCCCTTCGCCAAGTGGAGAACACCAAGAAGGCAGCCCAAAGGATGACATGGGGGGTGTAAAGGGGGTATAGGGGTGGTATAGGGGGTACTTTGCCGTTTTCAAAAGACATATGTATGCTGAAATGAGCTTTGCAGTCCATGCTCTGGAAGATGAGTGTGTGACCGTGGTTAACCCTCTTTTGTGGTTTGTGGTGAGTGTGGGTTGGGGGGAAAGGGGCAGGGCCCAGGAAGGTGGTGGGAATTAGACTGGGTACATGGAGCTGATGCGTGGGAAGTACGGTCCCAAATTCCGCGCAAGGCTGGATGGAACCAAGATCGTTTGCCCCCTCTCCAGTAGCCACAGATCATAGACACCTTATCTTGTCCCAATGTCCCATGTTCTTAGAGCTATCTGACCTTTTTAGATGTCCATCATAGATACCTGTATGTGAACGTATATACACAACATACATGTCTACGTGCATGACGCTTTCACACTGTATGGTTGTGATACACCATGTTCTTAGAGCTATCTGCCCTTTTTACGCTGTGACCCGAGCGCTCATCTTAGTGTTTGTCTTTCTTGGTGTACTCTCGACTTACCTGAACGTGAATGTATATACACAACATACATGTCTACGTGCATGGCGCACTTTCACACTGTATGGTTGCGATACACTGAGAGGTCAGTCATGCTTATGGGAACGTATGGCGTATCCAGAGAGTGATTCAGGTCTGGACCAAGTTCGGCGGATCTAGGTTCAATGGTCAGATCTGTCTAGACTCTAAACCAAGGATGTACCCTTTTTTTTTTTTTTTTTTACTTTCAAAAAGTTTCAATTCTGTAAGGAGTTTGACGTTGACTTGCAGCCAAATGGTGTTTGTATTGCACATCGACATTCAGTTTTTTCGATTCTGTTTCCGGAAACGGTAGGTAGTTCCGGAAATGCTAAAGTAACTTAGGAGAAGAAGTGAAACGGTATTCACCAATTCGTGGTAGCTGAGGTAGATCCCAGGGCTCGATCCCTAGTTCCCCAACTTACCTGTGTACAATACCTGCGTCAACTCGAAGAGTTGAACCTGCGACCTGTAGAACCGCCAGGGGTAGGTAGGTCTGTCGTAGGCCTATAGGTAGCCAGGATTCGATCCGTAGACCTGTAGATTAGAAGGCTAGCTGCAGTCCTTCTAGAAGGTTGGCAAGTGGTCAAGTGGTGCAGGCAAGTGGGCAAGTGGTGTGACTAAAGCAAGCCCATGTTGGAGACGAGGACAAGTGGCAAGGGCAAATAGTAGGACCCCAGTGCAACTGCACTGCATCGTAGGGTAGTCACCAGGCAGTCATGGGAGAGTCTAGAAAGTACCAGTCCGGTCCAGCAAGTACCACGGGGGGGACTGTGTGCACCATGGGCCAGGGATACAGGGCAGACCAACGCAGCAGAGGTATAAATCAAGAGGCTGCGTCCAGCCATTCATTCATTCCTGCGGATGCCATGCGGAAGCGCTGCCTTAGCAGCTTGTGCGAGGAGGTCTGCAGTGTGCCCGAAGACGAAGTGGGCAGAGAAGTGTAGTGTTGCGATAGGTAGTGGCAGCTAGCGCTGCCATAGCTGTAGCATAGCGTGTGTGTGTGTTGCGTATGATACTGAGTGTTGCGTGTGGGACATCCAGGGTGATCCAGAGTGCGAACAGTGAGTTGTGTGGGCGCCCAGTCGCCATAGCCAGTTGAAGAGAACTCATATCTGGTTACGATATCTTAAGTACTGTCAGGGCGCATGTCGCCAGTTGCTGTATCGCTGTTTGCATGCAAGACAAGTGTGAATAATCGGAGTGTGAATGCAGAAGGAGGGGGGGGGGGGGAGAAAAAAAGAAAGAATACGTGTTTGTATTTATCCTTGAGGGGTCTTCCAACGCCAGCCATGCATACATCTGTCCAGTTTCGTCAATGTACAAAAAAAATGGCAGAAGCGATTGCATTGTACAAAAAAAATGGTTGATGAAGCAGTAGAAGTTGAAATCATATGCCCTACGATGATCTCATGGATTGCAGTTGGAATGAGATGTTGTGTTTTCAACTTTTCACATGCTGTTTAAGCCCCTGAGGAGATTTCGTGGATTGCAGTTGGAATAGAATGGTGCGTTTTCACATGGTATTGAAGAGAGTACCTCAAAAATTACTCACAGTTTTGCCTCCTTTGAAGTCCTTTCTGCTTAAAAAAAGAAAAAAGAAAAAAACTATTTGTTGCCCTTTGGGCCTGAATAAAGACGAGTACCTTAGTGTTCGGCATCGGCAAATTGCCACCGCTTCCATTACCAAGGTGCAAGGCCCGCTGGTGCTAAGTTCGTGCTTAGAAAGCATGAACTTAGCCCTAAAAATGGCCAGGTCCGTGCTGTCTTAGCATGAAAATATGGAAACAGTTTGAACTTTTAACCAGCATGTCAGCAATCGACTTGCCTCGGTTAAAATTTTAACGGTGCTAGGTTGAAAAGGTGATCAACGCTCACAGAGCCTTGCGCAACGGAAGAGCAAGTTGGGCGGAATCTTGAAGGAAGGAATGAGACTGCTGCAGATCGCTGTCTGGAAACCCTGCCGTGACTTCACGAGGGTCTCTAGCTTGCGCGGGTCTCTGCGAGTGGCGATGTGAACTTGGAAATATTGAAAAAGGGAAAGGAAAGTGTATGGTTTTCGAGGACTTATTGTGAGGTTGTGGATTGTTTCGTGGTCACAAACATTTGCTGCCCCGTACAGATCATGGTCTCCTGCTTTGTGAAGACCCCACATTATGAAGAATTTCTTCGAGTGAAGGTGAGCTTCGCTCTCTGCGGCAGTTTATGGAAGCCCGTCCTTGTTTAACTATGGCCTTGGCTCCGCACCATTCTTACAAGACGTGTATGAGCTGATGTGTGACTGAGAACAATGTGGGGCCTCATGTCTTAGGCAATCAGCTACATCACCGTTGCTTTACCACGGCAACGAGATTTGGGTTGAGGTGCTGCGAAGCGCAAACCCCTGAGTCTAAGGCAGCTGCACAGGAGAAAAATAGACAAAGAAGCAAGGGAAGCAAGGGGGGGGGAAACAGTAGAAACAAGCAGAAGAAAAGAAAAGAAAGAGCACATGGACGGAGGGAGGGCACGAGCGTAAGAGAAGCAGTGGTGGGGGAGAGCGACACGAGGGCGAGAAGGGAGAGAGGGAGCGAGGGCATGAAAGTGTGTGAGGGAGGGAGGGAAACAGGGAAGGAAGGGAGGGATGAGCGAGAGAGGGACAACAAGGAGAGATCGGAGGAAGAGAGTGAAGGCATGAAAGGGAGGGAGGGAGGGAGGGAGGGAGGGAGACAGGGAAAGGCGGGAAGGCGGAGGGAGTGGAGGGAGGTAAGAAGGGGTAGACCGGAGCGCAATGCGAAGGGGTAGGAATGGAGGAATGTAGTGAGACAGAAAGGAGGCGAGGAAAAGTGAAAAAAAAGGAAAGAGATTAAGAAAAAAAAAAAAAAAAAAAAAGGGAAAGAGAAGGAAAAAGGACAGGGTTGGGAAAGGAGGTGATGGAAGGTTGTGGAATACAAGGAAAGAGAAGAAAGGAAGCACAAAAAAACATAGTCACACTGCTGACACCACATCTGACAAGTTAACGTTTTTGCCGTTTGCTTATTGTGCAAAATATTGCATATGGAACATCATTGTTTCCTCAGCTATTTGTGCTGAGGGAAAACAGGTTTTTGCATGATGGAAAGGGAGGAAGGGAAAGAGGGAAGGTAAGAAATGGGGGGAAGGCGATGAGATGGGAATGAAGGTGGCAGAAGATGACCAAAGGAAGCTGCATAGCATCGTGTTCGCGTTCGATGACCAAACCTGAACGAGCGCCAAACCGCTCTGAACACGAACGTAAAAATGTATTAAAAAAAGAACTCAGAAAAATGATAAAAAATCTGGAAAAAAAAATGTTATGTAAAATAATTATACAAACAACTTTTGCCTGAGAGGTATGGTTTAAATTCGTAACCAAACTCTGGTTAAAAATCAAAAACCTAAAAAAATATATATCTTTTGATTCTTTTTTTTATCATTAAAAAAAATGTTCGGCCAAAGCACATTCGGGTCCTTCGGGAGGCGTTTGGCCGAAGACCCGAACATGTTCGGGCGTTCGGGAAAGCCCCGAAAAACGTTCGGTGTGCTACACAGGAAGGAAGGAAGCACAAAAGAATGAGAATGTGCAAACCAGGCGGGAACGCAGTTGCACTATAGATTTATTAGATTCTGCATGTGCTGATTGAACATTTCCACGGTGTCCATATTGTGCGCTATACTGCATGTGGTTCATGATCTTCCCTCAGCTGTTAATGCGTAATGTTTGGATGTTTCAATAGGCGTAGAGTCTCCCCGTGTGTGCTTAATGTTGTCAGGAAAGACTCATATCGCCCTTCTTCCCCCCCCCCNCCCCCCCCCCCCCCCCCCCCCTATGCGTGTCATTCTTGTGTAGGGGCCATGCTAATCTTATTGTTCCAATTTTGACCAATGGAGCGATCAAACTTTTAAAAGTGCCTGGCTTGCAAACCAACCCCCCTCGCTGACCCATCCATAGCTTGTTGATTCTCTAGGATTTGCTGAAGATTACCATGCTAATCTTCTGTGTATTGTTCCAATTTTGAGCGATGGAGCGATTTTATTATTATTATTATTATTTTTTTTTTTTTTTTTAATTTGGACCATTTCTCGATTTATGCGTCATCCTTGCGCAGGGGCCATGCTAATCTTCTTTCTCTGTATCGTTCCAATTTTAACAGATGTCCCGAAGGACGCGACCGAAAACTTCTAAGTGCATGGCTTGCAAACCAACCCCCCTTGCTGACCTATCCATAGGTTGTTGATTCTCTCAGGAAAGATTGATCTTGGATTTGCTGAAGGTTATCAAGCACCACAATGCGCGCCTTGCCACATCGGTGCATTCAATTCAACGCCGTACATTTGATGATGCTGACCTGCAGATGTCTGCTGTTGTCAGGAAAGACTCGTATTGGATTTTCTCGGAGTGATCAGGTTTCCGAGTGGCATGGCTTGCGACCCCCATCTGACCCATTCCTATGTATCTCGTTGATGCTCTCAGGAAAGATTGATGTTGGATTTGCTGAGGGTCATCAAGCACCACAATGCACGCCTTGCCACGCCAGTGCGTTCAATTCAACGTTCGTTTGATGATGTTGAGCGTCAGCCAGCCTATCGAAGTGGGCCGATGAGGGAGGAGGTTGTGCGGCGGCCAATTCTTCTGTTGGATGGAAGCATCCCTGAGTCAGAATCTGATGACGATGACTCGAGAGTGGATGGTGCTGCGGAAGCGGCAGCCGTGTCTGTTGCAGCTGTTGTGGCGGAAGCCGAGGACGACAGCAGCGGCACTGCGGAATCATCTCCGTCGAAAGAGTCTTTCCTAGAGGAGGTGAGTAAGTCAGATGTATCTCCAAAACAACCTGCAGACACCACGGTACCCTCGACAATGAAGGCCTCATCGAAAGGAACAGAAGCGAGACCCAAAGCTGAGAATGGTGCAGCAAGGTCGCCAGCAATGTCGGCGGAGGCTAACGCAAAGGCATCAAAGCCCGACACAGGGGTAAAACCGAAGTCATCAGAGTCCACAAAGCAAGCTGTGGAATCTACAGGAAAGGCTTCAAAGGACTTGGGAAGCGCAGAACCAGATGAGCTTGACAAGAAGAGCGGTACGAGGCCAGAAATGACCGAGGCTGTTGGCCCAGGTGCAATTGTTTCAAACAGTTTGGATGCCACGATGACGTCACAGAGTATGACGTCGTCAGAAACAGCCGATGCTGTTGGGCCAGGTACGAGGAATTCGAAGAGCCTGGACGCCAGAACTCCGCCGGCACCGAGTACAAAGCCGCCAGAAACAGCCACGGCCGTGGGCCCAGGTGCAAGGGGTTCAAAGAGCCTGGATGCAACAAAACCGACACAGGGTTCCAAGTCGACAAATCCAACTGGTTCTGCGTCTCTAGATGCTTCGGAGCAGAAGCACCCCAAAGCGAGACCGGCAGGAAATGCATCATCAGACCCATGGGCTGATGATGATGGTTCTCTGATGTCTGACTCCCTGTCTGATCCTTGGGCGAGCAATCACGAAAATGACAGGGAAGTAGACCCTTGGGCAGTTGATATTGCAGGCAGCGCAGCGGCGACAGCCGCTGCCACTGAATCACAACTGTCACCTCATGGCTCCCTGAAGCACAGACCTGATGGCTTTTCAGCTGATAGCACCCTGAAGCACCAGCCTGATGACATCTCAGCACACGGTAATTCAGCAGCAAGGCACAGCAACACGACGAGCCGAGAAGATAAAGTAGCTGCCCATGGTGACAGAGGCCAGCAGCAGGGGACAATGCCGCATGTCACGAGTCAGAAAAAAGCGGAGCCCAGGGCTGCGCCAGCGGAAGCAAATCCGGATCCGCTGCCATCCTTTGCACGAACAGACAATCTTAAGGCGGAAAGTCCTGCTGATGACGATACAGCGTATAGCGAAGGAACAAGCGCAAAAGGGGGAAAGCAAGGAAGCGAGAAGGGTGTGAGAGAACCTGGAAGCAGGAAGGACGGGGGGCCAAGTGCGAAAGGAAAGAGCGGGGGCGAACATGGAAGTATCAGGAAGGATGTGGGGGCAAGTGAAAAAGGAAAGACTGACCCAGCACCCCAGGGAAGGGGAAGTTGGTCACCGCGTAGTTTGTCTAGGGACCCATCGCTCGGGAGAGTAGACACGACGAAGCCGAACAGGGATTGCGGAAGTGATGAAGTGACGAAGTCGGTGTTGACGGCCTCGGCTGCGGCAGCTAGGAAACCTGCGAGTGGAACTGCCTCTACATCCTTGGAGCCCAGGGAAGAGTTGCTGGTTCTGAGCGTCGACAATCCGCCGTTCAAAATTCCTCTAGAGGAATCTTCATCTATCATGTCGAGCGTGGATGGCCCTCCAGTCGGCGGTCTGAAACTGGACCTTGCGACAGGAGCAGGCGCAGGAGAAGGAGCACGGGCCGCGGAAAGAGAAGTAGACAGCTCATCAAGGGGAATGTTCATTGGCGGGACAGACCCTCGCGAAGACGACTTGCGAGGTATGGATCTCAGAAACCAGTCTGACAATGATAGTGACCGATAAAAACACAAAGCACGACTCAAAAACTCCACTGTCATTATTTTTCTCAAACAGTCAAAACAGACTCAAGAGTCCAAACTCCACTTCATTCATTTTCCAGAAAATGTCCACGGTGACACTGTCTCCTACTTCATCCATTGTCCATGATGCAGAATGTGTTGTCAGCAGTATAGGTCCTCCTACTTCATCCATTGTCTCCAAAAATTCATTCAACCTGCATGCACTGTTTGTGTGCAAGGATTCCTCTTTCCCCCCCCTAATACTACCCCTATTAATGAGCTGGCATCCATTCCATTTTAAGCCAGTGCATGTGAATCTTTCAGGTAGTGGTCAGAAATTATTATGGCCCCTTGTATTCCATGTGAGGGGGGGGTTGGCACCTTCCTAGTGATTACAGGGTGCTGCAGGGATCATCCAACTGCTGACTGGGGGACTTGTTCATTCTAGGAGTAAGAGATTTTAAATTTTAAGTTGAAGGAACAAAAGTTTGTCTGGAGAGCAAGGGGACTTGTTAATTCTAGGAGATGGCCACTGCAAGGGGTATGATGACACCCGGGCGATGCGGGATGGAACAAAAGTTTTACGACCGCAGGGGCTGGAGATCGACCATCGCCCGTAGATGATGTGCGCGTTTGCCACATCCGTATCGAAGTCCGGTCCGGTTCGTTTCCATTGACGACTGCATGATTGGCTTGTTGGCCAAGGTCAACCTACCAAAGTAGGGGGCCAGATTCTGTGGGCAGGCCTGCTTGCCACTGCTCCAAGAGGGAGGAGCAGGAGCTTCAGGTCTTCGGTTCGGACTATCGAGTGCAAGGTGCAAGCCGTCTGCCCCCTGTCCAGTGGCTGCACCAGGCTGCGCTGGCTGTCCTTCTGACGTCAATGTGGCTGCCCTCTCAGATGTCAGTGTGTGAATGTGTAATTTACTAATTTGCCCCTCACAGCGGAAGCTTTTTCACTTCTGGCACGATCTCTTACCGTGTAACATATGTGTACTATTGTGTAGCTTTTTCAATTGTGCCCCTCAGAGCTGTAGTAGATCTCTGGTCGGTGAAGGGCTCGGTACGAGTTCCCGAACTGGTCCTGTGGCAAGGGAGGGTTGCCACAATTGTGCTTGTGTGTAGATATGGAGGAGGAGGAGGAGGAAGGTCGCTTCAAGCCCTGTTGAAGGCTTTGGTTGTAGTCTTGCTCTGCACCATCGAATTGGCAGCGTAAAATTCAGGAGAATCCATGACATTGTTAAGGAAGAGGCATATAAGGTTGTATATCCTCTCTCTTAGGAGATCAAGTTCACTCTACATTATGGCCACTCTTTTTTTTTTTCTTCTTTTTTTTTTTTCAATGGCTCTGTTGTTTGATTAAGTTTGTGAAGTACTTCACAAAGTTGATGTGCAAGATACGAAGAAATCCATCGAGCAAGGGCGGAAAAGGTGCAGGGTTTTCTCAGACGGCATTGCAATGGATCAAAGCGCCACTCTTTACTTCTTCTTTTCTCATCGCGGCTCTGTGCTCATATACAGGAGGGTGGTGGGTTGGTTCGGCCTATGAGCAAGACCTCCACAGCCTCCTGGTCCTGGCAGGCCCAAACATGCATCAACTTTCGGAGCTGCCACTTTTGGGTGGTGGGTGTGTCTCCACTTCCTGATGAGTTAGCTAGCGTGAATGTGTGTCTACGCGTGTGTGTGGCACAGGATGGTGGCAGGTATGACAGAGGATAGAGGGAGCTATGTTGCTGGCTGACAGAAGAATGCAAGTTTTGGTTGTGCAGATGGCGATTTTGTGCACTTGTCTTTTCAGTTGCAGCTTGAGCCTGTGCTTACTTTTGTACACTGGAGAAGGGTGCGATCGCCACTTTTGGAGATGAAATTCCAGGCTTGCCGCTGTCAGAATGCACCTGGCTGCGTGCACGTGCTTTCTGACAGGGGCAGTGTTTGGGATTCTTGCTGTGAGAAGCAATGATCCTACAGGTTTTTGTTTGTGTTTTTTTCTGTGTTTGTGTTTGTGTTTGGGTGTGTGTTTGGGTGTGTGTGTGTGCGTGTGTGTGTGTTTGTGTGTGTGTGTGTGTGT